CTATTGGTTCTAATTCTTACTTACAACATCATTAATGAGAAAATATGTTTAATAGGAATGTATATGTATAGCCTATATCAGATTTCGTGCCATCTTGGGGAGGGAGGTGGGGAGGGAGGGGGAGAAAAATTTAAAACTCAAAAGCTTATGGAAGTGATTGTTGATAAATCAAAATAAGTTAATTTAAAAAAAGAAAGAAACATGAGTTCTAAAAGAAAACAAAAGAAAGAGAAAAAAGAAACCTGAGTTCTAATCCAGTCTTAGAAACTTACTAGCTAGATGACCCTGGGCAAGTCACTTAACTTCTGCCTCAGTTTCTTCAACTGGAAAATAGGGATAATAATAGTAGCTGTCTCCCAGAGCTGTGAGGATTAAATGAGATAATATTCAAAGGACTTTGTTGACCTTAAAGCACTATATAAATGCTAGCTGTTGGTTATTATCATGTGGTTCTAGAGGTCAGGGGAGAAGTCAAGACTGGAGATGATTATTTGGGCATTGTCATCTGCATAATGAATGTTGTTATTGTTGGGGAAGACAGTGTGGCAAGAAGCAGACAGAAGAAAAATAGAATAGGCTGGAACATTGACAAACACCAACATTAAGGGGCTGCAAAGGATGTAGCAAAAGAGGAGAACCAGAAGAACGTAGTGTCTCTGAGGCCAAAGAAAGAGGAAGTATTCAGAAAAAAGAGAATAGTCAACAATATGAAATGCTGTAGGAAGCAAAGGCAGTGAGGTACCATGAAAAGAAGACCTGAGGTGATACCCCAGCTCTTCTCTGTGTGACTTAAAGCAACATCCTTGTCCTGTCTGTGCCTCGGTTTCTTTATCTGTAAAATGAAGATTGGACTAATCAATTAATCAATAAACATTTATTAAGCTCCTACTATGTATCAGGCACTCTGCTCAGTGATAGGGGTAGAAAAAGAAGCAAAAGAGGGTCCTGCCCTCAAGGAACTTACAATCTAAGGAGAAGACAGTGTACAAATAAATATATGCAAAGCAACCTATATAAAAGATAAATAGGAAATACTTAACCAAGGGAAGGTACTGGAAGTAAATGATTGGGAAAGGCTTCCTGTAGAAGGTGGAGTTTTATTTGAGACTTAAAGGAAGCCAGGGAAGCTGGTAAGGGGAGAGGAAGAGGGAAAATGCCTGAGAAAATGCCTAGAGCAGAGACATTGTCTCCTTCATGGAACAGCCAGGAGGCCCATGTCGGTGGAGTGAAGAGTATGAGGTGGGGAGTCAAGTGTAAGGAGACTTGAAAGGTAGGGGGGGGCTAGGTTATGAAAGGCTTTGAATGCCAAACACAGCATTGTATTTGTAGATGAAATCGACGGCCTTGGTGACAAGTTGGATATGGAAGGTTGTTCAGTCATGTGCAACGTTTTGTGACCCCATTATGGGTTTTCTTAGCAGAGATACTAAATTGGTTTGTAATTTCCTTCTCCAGCTCATTTTGCAGATGAGGAAACTGAGGCCAACAGGGTTAAGTGACTTGTCCAAGGTCGCAGTCAGTAAGTGTCTAAGGCTGGATTTGCACTCAGGAAGATGTCTTCCTGACTCCAGGCCCAACCCTCTATCCAAGAAAGAGTAAAGAGTCATCCTGGACTAGATCGTGAGCCTAAAGAACTGGGAGGATGGTGTTGTCCTCTATAGGAAGAGGGGAAGTAGGGAATGCAGCCAGGTGGTGCAGTAAATAGAGCACTGGGCTTGGAATCAGTAAGATTCATCTTTGTGAGTTCAAATCTGGCCTCAGATGCTACCTATGTGACCCTGGGCATTGTTGGACAGTTATGGGTTAGGCCAGCTAGCCTCTGCTCTTCCATCTGTAAGATTCTCCATTTCTATAGAACCTGTTCTCTCAAAAGTTAACACGGATTGTCTTCATCACCAGTTTCCTGTCGCCTCAGTTTCCTCATCTGTAAAATGAGCTGGAGAAGGAAATGGTAAACCACTTTGGTATCCTTGTCAAGAAAATCCGTGATGGGGTCACAAAGAATCAGACAGGACTGAAAATGATTGAAGGGGAGGGGAGAGATAATGAGTTATATTTTGGACATATTGAGTTCAAGATGTCTACTGGACATCTAATTTGAGATGTCTGAAAGGCAACTGGAGATGGGAGACTAGAGGTCTGCAGAGAGGATAGGGCAGGATAGGTATGTTTGATAATAACGTAGAGAGATTATAAATTAGTTATTTTAAATTATTTATTTGTAGCTATTATAAATAGCAATTCTTTCTGTTTTGGCCAGAAACCTTGAGGGTCTTTCCCTCCCAGAATGATATTTTTTTTAATTAGGTAAGAGGCCATTTTTTGCCTCATTTCTTACCTACCCTTAATCACTGAATGGGGGTTGCCTCAGACAAACTGAGACCTGGGAAAGACCTTAGCTTAAAAAAGCCTAGGTCTTGCACTGCATCAGGGAACATCTCCGGTCATCCTGATCTATAGCTTGCCACCGCACCCAGATGGCTCTGGAGGAACGAGTGAGGCCTACGACTTTGTACAGCTCTGCCTCACTTAAATCCAGTTCATTTGCAAGTCTTGACATCTCCTTCCTCATGTCGCCGTCCTCTTTGAGAACGAAGGCAAACAGCAGCAACAGAAACAATTAAATCCATGGGAGATGAAGAGATTACCAAGTGAAGGAATAGAAGGAAAAGAGAAGAGGGCCCAGGACAGGGCCCTGAGGGCCACCTCGGTTAGATGAGCTCTAAGGGCCTTTCAGGTCTGCAACGAATGTTCCGATGGTGATGAAGAGAATCCGTGCTAACTTCTGAGAGAACAGGTTCTGTAGAGTAGTGGGGAATGGAGAAATCTTAGAGATGGAAGAGCAGAGGCTAGCTGGCCTAACCCATAACTGTCCAACAATGCCTTGAATCACATCCGCCCCCCAGCGCTCATCTCTTGTCTTTTTTTTTTTTTTGCATTTTTTTGGTGAGGCAATCGGGGTTAAGTGACTTGCCCAGGGTCACACAGCTAGTTAAGTGTCAAGTGTTTGAGGTCACATTTGAACTCAGGTCCTCCTAATTCCAAGACTGGAGCTCTATCCACTACGCCACCTAGCTGCCCTTTCGTGTTTCGTTCTCCAAGAGGACCATGACATCAGCAAGGAGATGTCATGACTTTCAAGTAAATTGGATTTAAGTGAGGCAGGGCTGTGGAAGGTCGCCAGCCTCACTCTCTCCTCCGGAGCCATCTGGATCCAAGGGTAAGACAGAGATCAGGATGACTGGAGATGGCCCCTCTGCAGCGGGAGACTTTGGCCTTTCTGAATTAAGGTCTTTCCCAGGCCTGTGTTCACCTAATCTCTGTTTGAAAGACTCCCCATGATGGGGAATTTGCTATCTCTTGAGAAGCTGTTCATTCCTCTTTGGAATAGCTGTTATTGATAGGAATTTTTCAATGCTGCTGCTGCTAATAATCATAATCATAATAATGGCAAGTAAGCGGCACAGCAGACAGAACAGTGTCTGAAGCAAGGAAACTTGAGTTCAAATCTGACCTCAGATCCTTACTAGCTGTGAAACCTTGGGCAAGTCACTTAACCTCTTTGCCTCAGTTTCCTTTTTAGCAAAATGGGGATAATAACATCACCTACCTCCCTACTTTCCTCTCCCTCTCAGGGTTGCAGTGAAGCGCTTAGTGCAATGGCTGATGCATAGCAGGTTCTGTATAAATGCTAACTATTATGATTATTATATTCTCCCACCCCACCCCCAAGTCTTCTGATTTTCCTGCTAAAGTCCAAAAAGTCAACAAGCACTTACTTTTAATTTACAGTTAATTTTAATTTAATTTAATTTGCAATTAATTTTAATTTACAATTAAGCACTTACTATGTACCAGGTACTGGGCGTGCCTGGTGTTTAATCATTACATATTCTTCTGTCTTTTCATCGCGCTGGTCATTCTCTCTTTTTTTTTTTTTTGCTTTGTTTTTTGGTAAGGCAGTCGGAGTTAAGTGACTTGCCCAGGGTCACACAGCTAGTAAGTGTCAAGTGCCTGAGGCCAGATTTGAACTCAGGTTCTTCTGACTCCAAGGCTGGAACTTTATCCACTGTGCCGCCTAGCTGCCCCCATCTTTGGGATACATTCCAGTTTCTCTAAGACAGAATACAAAGGATTGTGGATAGAGTAGGTAGCAGGGAAGTGTAGATATTGAGTATAAACTTTTTCTAGAATTTAAATGTAATGAATCACGGAGAAAGGGGACAGTGAGAGTAGGGTTATGGGAAGGGTTGTTTTTATTTCTGTCTTTTACAGCACCTAGCTAATATAGGGCCTTGGGTATCCTGTGAATATTTATTAATTAATAGACAATTAATAAATACTTGTTGATTGACTGATTTAATTGACTTGGGGGTTCCACCTTGATGACACCACCCCTCCTCCCCCATATGTGCTGACCCCTTGTGGTACTAGACTAAATTGCAACCTAGCCCTCTAGTAACTGTCTCCACAATTGAGTCTGAAACCTCTAAGATGCCAAATTGATGTCCTCATTCTAATGTGTGTACTGAGGCCATGATTTCCTGGACATTTTGGTGAACCATAGGGGAAACTGAGGCCTGGGTGGAGGGAGCAGGCATGGAGCCAGTTGAGGGATCTCAGGAGGGAACACTTGGGATTTCCAACAACTGAAGCCTATACCTTGGCTCCCTCCCTTCAGGTAGGCCTACACTTTGTCCTCATGCTACAGAAGGAGAAAAAGTTATAAAAGACAGGAGTCTCTGAATCCTCAGCTAAACCTCCAGGCCCCCCACTCCTTCTGACCAGAGGAGGAAGGAGTGCATGAAGAGGCTGCAGGATCCCAGACTGGTCCTGTTCCTTCCTTCCTCTCCTTCCTCCCCCCATCCCCACCTCTCCCACAGCTTCAGTCTCCCCCACACAGGCTGGGGAAGGAGGGCAGGGGCGGGCAGAGAGGAGGAGTTGGGGATGGTGGGATCTGAGAGCCCCACAGTGCCAGGCGGCCAAAGAGAAAACGCCAACATTAGCTCAACCTCCCTGAAACCTTCTCCTTCAGATCCCCTCTTCAGTCATGTTGGGGACCCTAGGGTTTTGGATGCTTTTTCCTGCAGCTGTGCAGGGTAAGTGTCTAAGGGAATGGCTTGTTCAACTGCCTTTCTGGCTTTCAAGGTGGGTTATCCCAGAGACAAAAACTGGGGATGGGGGGGAGTGGTGGGGAGACAGTTGAGATAACTGTCCCATTGGCTCTTAGACAGAGTTGGGTGCAAGGCAAAGGGGGAGGGGGTCTTGTTTTAGACAGCTGCTGACTTTCTAGCTTTTCCACCCTGAGCCTGAGATGGGACATGAGTTTTCTCTCTGACCAGACTCCTGCCTGTCTGGGGTATAATCCCACCTTGTTCTCTCTCCTTCCTTCTTCCCTGCCCTTGCCTTGTCCTTAGCCCCACCAGGTCACCGGACTTGTGTTTTCTTTGAGGGACCTGGGGTACAGGGCAGCACAAGGGCTCTGGGCAAGCTACTAGATGCAGGGCCAGGGCCCCCCAGGGGTATCCGCTGCCTGTACAGCCACTGTTGCTTTGGAATATGGAACCTGACTCAGGATGGGGCTCAGCTGGAGATGCAGGGTGAGTGGCCAGGACCGGGAAGTAAGGGGGCAGATACATAAGGGGAGGAGAGGGCTGGAACAGAGACCAGACATGTGGAGGGCAAAGCTAGCTTCTCTGAGAATGATAGCACATCTGTAAGGGAAGAAAGGCCATTTCAGAGATTGAAGGGATAGCTCTAAAAAAACAGAGGGGAAACTAGGTCCTCCAAAAGTGGATTTTATCGCCTTCTGCCCCAATCAGGGTGCCGAGACAGTGATGAGCCGGGCTGTGAATCCCCCCGATGTGAGCCAGCCCGCCTTGCCCACCCAAGCCCTGGCTCCACTCTCTTCACATGCTCCTGTGGCACTGATCTCTGCAATGCTAATTACAGCCACCTGCCACCTCCAGGGATCTCAAGGACCCCCAACTCTCAGGGTCCCCAGTCTCCACCTGGTAATCACTATTCTGGAGCCCAAGTGTCTAGGCTGGAAGGCCAGGCTGGGGTTTGTGTGTGCAAGGCGTGGGAGAGTGGGGATTGGGTTGAAACTGGGAGGAGGGCCATGCCCAGTTTTCCCTGTGTCCGTAATCCTCCCGGGCCAAGCCTCCTACTCCCTCCTCCTGACCTTGGGATGTTTTTTACCCTGGTGACAAGAAGATAACAGGACAAATTCTATGGAAGCAACGGGAAGGGGATCAGGGACCCAGAGCAGGGGTTTCCAGAGTGCCCAGGATCCATGTCTTGGGGATAGTCTCAGTATTCCCCTCCAGCCCTGAATTTCTTCTTTATTTGTCCAGGGGACTCCTTTCTGGTGGTGGTGTCTCTGCTGGGGCTGTTTCTCCTTCTTATGCTGGGCAGCAGCATCTTGGGTACAGACTTGACCCCTGCCACCCCTCTCCCCCCCAATGCCCTTTGGGCACCCTTCTGATGCTTCTCTGTGTCACCCCCACACACAAACACCTCCCAGGTACTCTCTTGGGCCCTTTTTGCCAGCCTTCCTCTGCCATGACCATGTCCTCTCTAGCATGGAGCCACGTCCTCTGACCTTTCTCTGCCCCAGCTTCCCCTAGGTGTTAGTCCCTATCATCTCTCTGTCCTGGGTAACCCGCATGGTCCCTTCACTTACTGCCCATGGTCTTGGCCCCTTGACCTCCATTTCCTTCAACTCCATCCCATCACCTCTCAAGAACCCCGTACCTCCCAAACCCCTGGTCCTGTGCATGCTGGCCCCATACCTCCCAACCCTATGGCCCCCCACCACCTGTATCTCCAGCCCTTCGGCAGCGGAAGGCATTTAGGGCCTCTGGGGGCCAGGAACTAGAATCTGAGCCAGGCCGCAGTTGGAGCCAGGAGTTGCCGGAGCTGCAGGAATTATGCTTCTCTCAGGTCTCCCTTCTCCATGTCGTGTTGGGGAGAGGGCGGGTGGAGGATAAACATCCCAATGCCTCAATTCCACCAACTGGGTAGGGAGGACGCTGGGTCGTTCCTTTGCTGTGATAGATAGGATGATGAGGGCTGAGGGAGAGAAGGCGTGAAGAGGACAGAAGCCTGAAGAAAAGGTGGTGAATCCAGCCCGTTGCAACATCTTGTCCTCTTCTGCCCAGATCCTGCAAGAGGGAGGCCACACAGTGGTGTGGGCAGGACACCTACAGGGGGAGGCGGTGGCCATCAAGGCCTTCCCCCCTTGGGCAGCACCCCAATTTCAGGCAGAAAGGGCCCTCTACGAGCTGTCTGGCCTGCAGCATGACAACATAGTACGATTTATTGCCGCTGGCAGAGGGGGCCCCGGCCCTCAGCCCCCCGGTCCCCTGCTGGTTCTTCAGCTCTACCCCAAGGTAAGAGGAGGAAGGCCATCTGGGGCTCTCTTCTCCCATCCCTTCTTCCCTGTTCCTGTTCATTTCTCTCCTCTGGCCTTCTTCTTGTCCTGTGACTTTCCCCCTGCCCATTATTGTCCCTTTTCAGCAGTCTTGATGTCTCCCCTTAATTCCCTCTGTACTTCTCTATCCCTATGTCTACAGCTCTTTCTCTTTATGAATGGTCAGCTCTCTGATGATCTGTTAATCATTGCCTTCCTGTCTGATTTTCTATCTTTTTTTCTTCAGTCCCATACACTTTGTTGTTGGTCAGTCATTCATGTCCAACACTTTGTGAGCCCATGGACCATAGCATGCCAATAATGTCCATGGTTTTTCTTTCTTTGTCTTTCTTTTTTTTTTTTAACAGAAAGAGGAATGTTTTGCTATTTCCTTTTCCAGTGGCTCAAGGCAAACAGAGGTTAATTGACTTACCCAGAGTCACACTGCTAGAAAGTGTCTGAGCCCGGATTTGAACTCAGATCCTCCTGACTTCAGGGCCGGTGCTGTATCCACTGTGCCACCTAGCTGCCCCTTTATCTGTCCTTTTCTAATGATAATATTGTTATCCCTTCCACGTGGCAGCTTGCCCCATCGTGGTTTCTACATATTGTGGGTCTGCATAAGAAATTAAGTGGGAGTTTTGGGGGAGTTTTGTGGAAGCCAGAGACATGAGAAGGTCAGTAGACACAAAAAAGTTTAGAAACTCAGGAATGCATAAAATATATGTATAATATTGCATAATAGCAGCACCCCACAAAAAAAAGAAAGAAAAGATTCAGACTTTTCTAGTACGAAGGGCGGTTCAAAAACTTTTATGGGAAGGGGGGTGCTGCATGCTAGGTGCACCCCTCACCCCTGCAATGTGGGAAGGGATAACCATAATGATGTTTCCCAAAGTCTGTCTGTCTCCCTCCTCCCAAGGCTCACATGTTTTTCTCCTACTATGTGACCCTTCCTCTAGGGCTCCCTACGCCACTACTTGGCCCACCATACCTGTGACTGGCTCCACTCTATAAAGCTTGCACTCTCTCTGACTAGGGGCCTGGCCTTCCTTCATGAGGAATCCTGGAGAGATGGTGAGCCCTGGGGAAGATGGGATTCTGTCTCCTCTTGGGGATGGAAAGGAGGAATGAGCAATTGGAGGTTACGAAAAAGAGGGTGAGGGATAACCTTTGACTTCTAATCTCATCCTCAGGTCAATATAAACCAGGCATTGCCCATAGGGACCTGAGTAGCCACAATGTGCTTGTCCGGGATGATGGCTCTTGCGCCATTGGAGACCTGGGCCTTGCCTTGGCTCTTCCTGGCCTCACTCAGCCCCCTACCTGGCTCCCCACTCAACCCCGGGGCCCAGCCACCATCATGGAGGTGGGGACTTTGGGCAGGGGGGAGGAGGGAAGAGGAATGTCCCCAGTTTGATGGCAAAGGTCTTGATGGAAGTGATGGCATTGGGGGAAGTCATACTGCTGTGGAGACAAGTGGGGGGAGGTGTTCTTTAGGTAGCTGCATGGGGGAGAGGAAGATGAGGCTTTTGTTACTGTCCGATTGCTATGGTAATAGTGCAAGGCTCTCCTTCACCCAAGGCTGGAACTCAGCGGTACATGGCCCCAGAGATTCTGGACAAGACTCTGGACCTTCAGGACTGGGGGATGGCCCTTCGGCGGGCTGACATCTACTCTCTTTCACTGCTCTTGTGGGAGATGCTAAGTCGATGCCCTGACCTATGGCCTGGTGAGGGGCTGGAGCATCCCTGAATATACCCCACACACATCTCTCACCCGCAGACATACCTGTGCCTGCCAGGAACACCACCCACTCTTCTCCCCAACGTATTCCCACTGCTCTTGCCAAAAGCTCACCTTTATATAATATTGTACCCTGTGAGACAGGCCAAGCAGAGCTTATTATCTCCATTTCATAGAGAAGAAAATTTGAAGCTTAGAGAGGCTTGTCTGATATCATGATGGCTAGCAAGGGGAAAAGCTTGGACTAGAACCCAAGTCTTCTAACTTTAGTTCAGGTCCTCTTGTCTGAACACCACTTTCCTTGACCTTGATCCCCCCATCTTCAGAAGTCCTAACCTCTGCCCTGTTTGGGGGCTCCTCTCCTAAGCTATTCCTAAACTCTACCCCCCCCTTTCTTCTCCCACCCCTCACCCATCCTAAGGGAAGCCTCTTAGAGACTGACTCCTATTCCCCATGTGCCTGACCCCCAGACCACAGGCCCCCACCATTCCAGCTAGCCTACGAGGCAGAGCTGGGGAGCAGCCCCACCACCTGTGAGCTCTGGGCCCTTGCGGTGGCAGAAAGAAGGAGGCCTCACATTCCCCCGAGCTGGTACCGTACTACCATGGTGAGGGGCATAAAGACAAGGAGAGGAAAGGGAGGGAAGAGACGGCGTGTGTTGGGGTTGGGGAGGGGTGATGGTAGAGAGAGGGAGGGGCATGTCCCTAGAGAGGATTAGTTTCCACATTCTACCCAAACTTCCCAGTATAGACCTCCTTAAACCCAGCTAGGCCCATTATCTCTTATGACTCTCTGGCTCTGCTCCCTTTCCTTAGCTCTCTATTTCTCTTTCCTGCGACCATACAGGCCAATTCCCATTCCTGGGAATGTTCTTTGCTCTCCTCCTCTCCACCTGGCCCCATTCCCTTCAATTTCCATTCTTCTAAACCCTGCTGTTCATTTCCCTCCTTCAAGAAGGTCTCCCTATCACCCCTGCCAGCTCCACCCGAGCCTCATCCCTCCACTCCTGGCATGTAGAAGGAAGGTGCCCCTTTATGCCTCAGTTTCTCTTACTTGGGTTCTTGTCTCTGTCTCTCTGTTGGCTGCATTTGTGTCTGTCTGTGTCACGGCATAGCTGAAATAAGTGCTTGCCTATTCAGAGTGGTTTGAGTAATGGGAAATTTTCTCTCTCTACAAATATCTTCTAGTCATAGCTCCACCCTACTCATTTGGAATAGCCATAATATTAATGTCTATCAGATCCAGGGATGGGGAACCTGGGACCTCAAGACCACATGTGGTCCTCTAGGTCCTCAAGTGCAGCCTTTGATTGAATCCAAACTTCATAGAACAAATTCTCAAGGCTGAAGTTTCGTCACCCCTGCATTAGAAAATAGGGGAAGACCCCCATTAAAATATCCAAATTTTTTGGAAGGAGGGAAGGTCTTTTTCCCATTAACGCACCAGACTAGTTTAAGAAACAAATTTTCTGATACCTTAGAAGGGAGAAAGAGCTTGTTCTGGGGGAAGATAATTTTCGTTGCCCTGAAAGGGGTTTAGGTGACACGAGACAATGCCAAGAGCAGTGCTAATAATGATGATGACTCACATTCCTACAGCACTTTTTTCATACCTGATCCGCACAAGAGCCCTGTGAAGTAGATGTTTTGCAGAGGAGGAAACTGAGGTCGGACAGGCAAATTTCTACAAGGTGACAGAACCAGGACTTGAACCAGGGTCTTTGGACTCCAAGACTAGCATTCCACTCAGACTCTGAAAAGAAGGCCCCAGTTTCCTCATCTGTAAAATGGGGTGGTTGGATTAGGTAATTTCTAAGATAAAGTCTAGCTCTAAATTCCAGGAGCCCACGAGGGATAATAGAGAAGAAAGCTGAGGTGGGAGAAGCAGCAAAGACAACCTGCATCAGTGCTTAGGGGAGGAAGGGGTGGCCTAACTCTCTGGTCTTTCTCCCAGGAGCCTGGTGGGTTGCCTGAGCTTCTGGAGGATTGCTGGGATTCAGACCCTGAAGCTCGACTTACAGCTGAATGTGTACAGCACAGATTGGCTAGGCTGAGACACCCCCCCGAAACCCCCGACTCTGAAGAGGGCTCTTCCAGTGTCCTTCCTTCCTTCTGCCCCCAACCCTGTCCTGCAAACCCTGGGATAGCAAACCCACTCCCCTGGCAAGGGACCCCTTCGGACTCTAGCTGAGTATGTGCGACACCCCTTTACCAAAATACAGCAGCATCTCCATTTGCCCCTTACCAAGCATTGCCATGACTATGTAAATATGTAGATATGTAGTTCACATGTAATCTATGTACATATGCATGTACGTATCTACACCAAGCCACATGTAGAGCGACTGTACGACTGGTTGTTTATCCTCACAACCCTGCCCTTTCTACTCTATCTGCTCCTGGACTCTCTTATAGGTTTCCTGCTCTGTGACTGTCAGCAAATGAATCTGGAAGACAGTAGACTTTGGCAAAATAGCAGAGGAGGGGTGTGCAGATGGGGAAGGGGAGAAAAAAGGGCAAAGAATAGTCAGCAAAGGGATGTAAACAGGCTTATAACTTAATGAAAGACAATTTTCTCAATTCTTACATTTTTTTTGCCTTCCAGACACTTTTTTGACTTCTCTCTCTTACATCTCTGACATTGTGCTCACCTAGATTTTGTCTAATTTTTATCCATCCTGGTTAGGTCAGCCCCTCACCCAGTGAAGGAGGGGAGGTGCAGGTAGAGACAGAGTTACTGATGAATATCCATGAGTTAAACCACTTACTACAAAGAAATTCTACCAGCTCTAGTGTTGAGATTGGTACATTGGGTAGATAACCCGACTTCTGCTTTCTCAGAATTGTTGTTTATTGTTTGTCCTTCGGTTTCGAAGAGGAGGAGGATGTCCTGACTCGCAAGTGAATTGGATTTAAGTGAGGCAGAGCTGCGCAAAGTCATCAGCCTCACTCTCTCCTCCAGAGCCACGTGGGTTCAGGAGCAAGTTATAGATCAAGATGACTGGAGAAGGCCCCTTATGCAGTGGGAGAGCTTGACCTTTTTAAACTAAAGTCTTTCCCAGGTCTCAGTTTGTCTGAGGCAACACCCATTCAGTAGTTAAAGTCTAGGTAAGAATTAAGGCAAAAAAAAAAATCCTGCTGTCGAGACTGGTAAATAGGTGCATTTGTAAAAGGCCCTGCATCCCTCCCTTTGTCAACCTTAGTATAAAATAAAACCAAAAAGCCTCTAAGAGATGTGGGCCATCCAGACCCTGCATAGTGCCTGGATAGAGCCAGTTGCTTGATTTAAGAGTTACATGGAGTTTCATTTCCCCAAACGAGGACAATTCTGGGACCCAGAATGGCAGTAAGGCAGGGCACACATCTTTTACTCTTCTTAAATGAATCCATCCACCACTGTATGTTATCAATAAATCAAATGATTGTGAGGTTTTATCTCTGTTCCTTGAAATCCCAGACCAGATTAGCACACTACTATAATCTGTCTTCATGTTTCCTTTTGCTCATTCTTTTCTTTCCACTTTTTATTAGTAGGTATTTTGCAAGGCTCAGTCCTGGAAATTTTTATCCCTCTGGAAATGGCTTATTCATTTATATAGTGACTTCTTGTTGGGGTAGATGATTTCTAGCAGAGCATACACTCTCCTGGTTTCAAGGTTTCTGTTGCTATCACTTTCCCATTTTGTTTTTTCTTGTTTCCCCTACTAGCCTCTAAGCTCCCTCAAGGCAGGGATCTCATCTTTATCATTCTTATATACCCCTCCCTTTCCCACAGAGTCTCATCCATATTGAATATTTTAGTAATAAATGGTTTTGGAGCAATGATCAACTATGGCTACAAAGAACTGATGATACTACCCAACCTCTTGGCAGAAAGGTGATGGAATCAAGTTGCAGAAAGTGATACAGACATTTTTGGACCAAGGCCACAGTGGAGATTTGTTTTGCTTGATTCTAAATATTTGTTACAAGCGTTGGGTTTTTCTTTTTTTTTTTCTTTCTTTCTTTCTGTTTTCTTCTTCAGGGTACAGGGAGCGAGGGGGAGAAAAATGTTCATTGAGAAAATAAAATAATAAATATTTTTGGAATGTGTAGCATTCCCTTTACTTATGTTTAATGTGGGGGAAAATACACTGTCTGAGTCTTCATTTAGTGCAGTCTGCAATATCAAAGCATTTAATTGACCATAGTAAAACATAGCTAACAGGAAAACCTATGTGATAAAATCATTCTTAACTCCCTCTAAATAAATGGGAAGGAACTTCAAAAAGTCCTTGTACCAGTGGGGAAAAAGAACAAATTCTTTTGGCAGAGTGTGGTGGGGCCGCGAGCTCCAAGGACATTGGAGGGAGAATTGCCTTGTGTGGCTGCAGGAATATTTCTCTGGGGGCCTCCTCAGCTGCCACCTACTAAAGGGGTGTTCACTGAAACTCTACCCCCTTAGCTGTGGGCTGCTACAGCTCTGCCATGGAACAAAACTGGGCAGGAATGGCTTCCACCTCAGGCTTCTCAGCTGACATCTGCAGAAGCCTTGCCCCAGAATTTCAGTTCAGTGCTCTTCAGGGATCGTTAGAGCTCTTTGAAGGTCAGCCCACCAGGACCACATTCTGCTGTTGGGGCTGGGGTTGGACTCATCTTATTGCATGACTTGTCACAAGCTGGATGTCACCAAGAGAGGTCAATCAGGGAGGGGTCAATGGAGCAAGAGTTTTCCTTCCACTTTTTGGTTCCCACTCTGTCCCCCCACCCCCACTCCCAGCTAGGGGTCCTCAACCCTCACTATCAGTTGTATTAGGAGAAGTGATTTTATCTTCTCTGGGCTGCAGGTAGTAGGACCCTTCTCCTCCTCCTCTTTGAGGCTAGAGACAAACCCCGTTGTGTTCTTCTTTCCATTCCTCTTGTACCCTCCCCATCAACTAGTGCCTGGGCCTGCAGATATTGTCCAAGGATTTGCTATGCCTCAGAAGGCACAAATAAAATAGGGAGAGGTTAGGGCCCGAAGAGGCACATTCTGTTTTTTCTGCAGACTTCGTACCTCCCTAGCCAAACCCTTGTTTCCCCTCACATGTATATGAAACCCAGATCTCTAACTGTGACCTGATCCCTCCTCCCTTTGCTAGTTCCATATTTCCAATTATCCATAAGAAGTCATAAGAAGTTTTTCCTTAGGGGCAGCTGGGTGGTACAGTGGATCGAGCTTTGGCCTTAGAGTCAGGAGGACTTGAGTTCAAATGTGACCTCACACACTTGATACTTACTAGCTGTGTGACCCTGGGCAAGTCACTTACTCCCGATTGCCTCACCCCCCCCCCAAAAAAAAGCAAAAGTCTTTCCTTGAATATTTATTCTGCTGTCATCACAAATCATCTTCCTTCCTTAACTCCAAGAAGGTTGTGGTATTGCTAGGTCAAACGTTATGCACAGTTTTATAGTCCTGTGGGCATAGTTTGGCTGATTTCTTTTGAGTAATTGATTGATCTCATTCAGGGGGCTCTGCATTTTTCTGGAGCTCCACCTAAGCTGGTTCAGTGTAGCTAGAGTCAGGAAGACCTAAATTCAAATCCTAGCTCAGATACTCATTAGCTGTGTTATCCCAGGCACTCCACCTCTCTCAGCCTCAGTTTCTTTATCTATAAAATGGGGATAATTTCATTTGCCCTATAGAATTATTGTGAGGATCAAATGTGATGATATCTGTAAAGCATTTTATAAACATTAAAGCACTATGTAAGTATTAGGGCAGCTAAATGGTGCAGTGAATACAGCACTGGGCCTAGAGTCAGGAAGATGAGTTTAAATCCAGCCTCAGACACTTACTAGCTGTGCGACCCTGGGCAAGTCATTTAACCCTGTTTGCCTCAGTTTCCTAATCTGTAAAGTGAACTGGAAAAGGAAATGGCAAATCACTCCAATGTCTTTGTCAAGAAAACCCCAAATGGGGTCACGAAGAGTCGAACACAACTGAAACATGACTGAACAGCAGCAAAAGATAAATGTCAGCTATTATCGTAATTGATACATAAATCAGGGCCACTCACTACTACTGATTACACTCTGTGAATTCCTACATTTGGTGGCAAAGGCTTCTCCAAACGAGTGATTGTGTAGTAACTCAGTGTCTGTACTAGGACCCAGAGAGAAAAGGAGATCTATCTATGAGGCTTAAATGTTCACAAGAGATTGATGAAACAGTCTTCTTCATAGCCAGCTTTTCTGTCAGCAGTGGGGCTCTGTGGTCCTTCAGAACTTTGTCCAGATTGGCTGCTCCAAAGATGGCACCTCTGCTTTCCCTTGTTGTACAGGGAAAGTCCTACCTGTGACATGCAGGATACTCCATCCTTTGGGGGATGTGACTGGTCAGGAGCAAGGCATTGTCTATTATGTCTGCTTTCAAAACTAGGCTTTGGACCTTTTGAGTTCAGTAATTGTGTGAAGGGGGATAATTTTATGGGATTGGAAGCTTTCTTGATTTATTCAAGGTTGGATAACGAGGGGGATGTGAAGCATTTTATCTATGATACCAGGGGCTATATAAGACTGTTTGAACCCAAGTGAACACTTATCTACGAAGTCATAACTGGGAAAACAGGGGATAATCTCGACTTTTCAGGAACAAGAGGAAAAGAAAGCAGTAAGCAATTAAAAATACATATGCACACAGGATAGTAGCCAATTAACATGGGCATGAGTTTTCCCAGGGAGGTCTGCCTCTAAGTTGTTTGGCCAGTGCAAGGAGAATGGCCTTGAGTAGTTTTCTCAGGAAAGATCAAAGGTTTCTGATGGAGAAGCATATAATTTTCCCCTGGGGATTCTACATATGAAGGCTAACTCAGATTTTTTATTTTTTTTTTTTTATGTTTTTTTTCCATATGCTTTTGAGTTGAAAATTTTTCTCCCTTTTCCTCCCCCCCACCCTCCCCAAGACGGTAGCACAATCTGACATAGGCTTTACATTTACATACCCATTAAACATATTTTCACATTAGTGAAGTTGCAAGTAAAAATTAAAACCAATAGGAAGAACCATCAGAAAGTGAAACAAAACTCAACAGAAGGTAAAAATAAGTGATAGCGATTGGACTTCCATAGTTCTTTCTTTGGATGTGGACAGCATTTTCCATCCTGAGGCCTCTGGAGATGTCTTAGATCCTCGCAATGCTGAGAAGGGGCTAACTCAGATTTTAAGGGGAAAAAGGAAACAAAACTTTTAATACACAAAGGTTCTATGAGGGAAAAAGGCCTCGATTATGTCTACAATTTGTAAAAGAGGGGTGATGCATGCAGTGACAAAATTTGAAGAAATAATCATCTTCTTATACACATAAGAAATATAGAAACTACAAAAAATATTCTTTGAAATGAATCACTGCCTATAGTGTAACAGGCCCTGTGAAAATGAAATCAGGGCAGCTAGGCGGCACAGTGAATAAAGTTCCAGCCTTGGAGTCAGAAGAACCTGAGTTCAAATCCAGCCTCAGACCAAACACTTGACACTTACTAGCTGTGTGACCCTGGGCAAGTCACTTAACCCCATTGCCTAAAAAGAAAAAAAAAGAAAAGTAAAAAAGAGAGAATGAAATCATCACAGTGTCACTCACAAATAAGAGCATCTAGGTGAGAAATGAGGAACCTGCAGCCTCCAGGGCCACACGTGGCCTTCTAGGTCCTTGAATGTGGCCTTTTGACTGAGTCCAAGTTTTACAGAACAAATCCTTTTATTAAGGGGATTTGTTCTGTGAAGTTTGGATTCAGTCAAAGGGCTGCACTTGAGGACCTGCAGGGCCACACATGGCCTCAAGGCAGAAGGCTCCCCACCTCTGACCTAGATGCTCTTAGTATTTATATGGAATCCATCTTTCATTTGGACTCTGTGTTGCAATCCTCCGTGACAATGAAATAGGCTGGG